GGCCTGGGCGCTGTCCCTCAGCTCTTCAGCTCAAGGCTAGCACTCTACCACTTGAGCCACAGTACCACTTCTGGCTTTTTCTTTTTGCTTATGTGGTGCTGAGGAATCGAACCCAGGGCCTTGAGCATGCAAGGCAAGCGCTCTACCACTGAGCCACCTTCCCACCCCCATGAGTACATTTCTTATCAAGCATTGTTGACTCCTCCTTTTTCCCCTATCATCCCTTCCCTCATACTTCCACAAATACACTCCCCCCCCACTAATTCTTTATGTGAGGTCTGTGGGAGGCTCCACGTTCTGTTTTTTGTTTGTTTGTTTGTTTTTTAAGATTACAATTGATATCTGATGCGGATTACCTAATAAAATCTGTTCCTAGAAGTGTTTGTCCTTCTACTGAATCTAGGGCTGGTTGGTATATTTTCCCAGGGTCTCAGTTAATCAGTGTAGAAAAAAGGTTAGGATTTTAATTTTTCATTCTTTCCTAAGTGATCTCTTAATCTATTATAATTAACAGCCTTAACACTGTTTATTCTTTCAATTAAGCGATTAATAGTGTAATTTCCTAATTCAATATGGCATTCCCAACTCAGTAAATCCAGTATGGTTCATCATTGGGAATGGGAACATTTCCAACCGGTTTAGTTTAGCTTTGACATGGACAGCGTCAGCATAAACCTGATCTGCTGTTCAAATGCCATGCTTCTTTTCAGGAATGCCACAAACTGAGAAGAGAACACGTAAATACTTCGAGGTTGTCAAAACCAAGTTTCCCTTTACTTTGAGATAATTTGTTCTGAAAAGAGAACACATGCCTACTTAGTGCCTTCATCTATAACTGCATTTTAGTTGGTTTTGGTGGTATAATGCACCACTGTGTGTGGTGCCCTCAGAGTTTATTTCTATCAAAGGGGTAAAAGGATATTTGTTGACATAAGTGGGGGGAGGTAGGAAATAAGGTGGGAGATATAGGTAAGAACTAGATGCTCTAGTATAATTGAGGCAGAGGGAGAGGCTACCTTCTAAAATTCTGTAACGTCTAGAACAGGGATGCCCATGGAGGAGATCTCCTCACAATTCATCCCATATCACCCTCTTCCTAGAGGGGAAGCTGGAACATACAGAATCACACATTTTTCTCTGAGTTTAAGGTCTCTGTGTCGTCAGAAAAGGCTGTGTATAGAGAGGTTTTCAGATCAGTTTCCCTGGCTTTTACAAAGCAATCCTTGCTGGAGAACAGTATTAAAACCAAAGCTCCCATTTGTAGGCTAGTTTTCTCCCTTACCCAGCTTACATTGTGGTTATAGTGTTTGCAGTAGTAAAATTCTTTAATCCTTTTAAAGACTCCATTATTTTTTTCTTTTTTCTCTTTTCTTTTTTTATTTATTTTTTTTGCGTGTCCTGGGGCTTGAACTCAGGGCCTGGGCTCTGTCCCTGAGCCTCTCTGTACTCAAGGCTAGTGCTCTACCAGCTAGGCCCAGCACCACTTCTGGCATTTTCTGTTTATGTGGTACTCAGGAATGGAACCCAGGGCTTCATGCATGCTAGGCAAGCACTCTACCACTAAGCCAGCTTTTCTTATCCTTTCAACAATTACCTTGAAATTTCTGAAATCTCAGAAATCTGCATGTCAGACAGGAAAAGGGGATCTTCCGGTCACAAAATCCCAAATGCCTTACTAAACCTAAGGAGAGGGTTGCCCTCCTGCCTTTTAACTAAAGGCATAATGTGGAATACTGAGTTCCCAGACTTAAGTATATAGGATATTTGAGCAGACAAGGAGAAATTTATTCAAGAAAATTCTTTTCTCCTCCCTGTTTTTCACATCAATGCTCCTATCAGTAAAGTGGTATTCCTACTGAGCTACAATCCTAGCCTAGTATGGGTGTCATAGAGACTATTACCAAATTTTTTATGATGAGAAAACAAGCTTATGCCAATTAATATTCTTTTTTTTGGTGGGGGGGTCTGGTCGTGGGGCCTAAACTCTGGGCCTGGGCGCTGACCCTCAGCTCTTCAGCTTAAGGCTAGCACTCTAGCACTTGAGCCACTTCTGGCTTTTTTTTTTCTTTTTGCTTATGTGGTGCTGAGGAATCGAACGCAGGGCCTCATGCATGCAAGGCAAGCACCCTACCACTGAGCTACCTTCCCAGCCCGCCTATTAATATTCTGACTAGCAGCGTTTGAGAGACCTCCATTTGGGAAAATGTTGAGTAATTCACAGTTATCAGGATTATTTCATATCCAGAAAGTATTCTGCTAACAAAAAAAAATAAAGATGGACTGCACAGTTCCCTCAGCCTGGAATAGTTTATATTTTCCACAGATACTTTTTCATCCATTGTTCAAAGACAATGTTATACTTCAAGTAGTTAATTATAAGGCTAGTTACTACTTTTTTTTTTTTTGCTGGTCGTTGGACCTGAACTCTGGGCCTGGGCGCTGTCCCTCAGCTCTTCAGCTCAAGGCTAGCTCTCTACCACTTGAGCCACTGTGCCACTTCTGGCTTTTTTTTTCTTTTTGCTTATGTGGTGCTGAGGAATCGAACCCAGGGCCTTATACATGCAAGGCAAGCACTCTACCACTGAGCCACCTTCCCAACCCCCCCTTTTTTGTTTTGAGGAGAGGGTGGTCCTGGGCCTCGAACTCAGGGCTTGAGTGTTATCCCTAAGCATTTGTGTTGGACGCTAGCACTGTACCACTTTGAGCCACAGCTCCAATTCTGATTTTCTGATGGTTAATTGGAAATAAGACTCTCGTAGACTTTCCTTCTCAGTCTGGCTTTGAACTGTGATCCTCGAATCTCAGACTCCTGAGTAACTGGATTACAGGTGTGAGCTGCTAGCGCTCAGCTTGTTACCACTTTTGAGTACTTTATTCATTGGACTGGATATCACCAGTTTGTGGTGGTCTTAAAGTCTATTGTTAAAATCAGCTCACTTCTTTCACTATTTTTGTAATTGTCTAAGCAGTTGTACTTTCCATCTGTTACTTAAAGAGTTGAAGAAATAATCTGTTGCCCAGTGAGGGTATGAGGGGTGTGTGTGTGTGTGTTTGTGTGCCAGTCCTACGGCTTGAACTCAGGACCAGGCACCTGTCCCTGAGTGTTTTCTCAAGACAGGCACTGGGTTTTGGTGGTTAATTGGAGATAAAAAATCTCATGGACTTTATTGGTGGGCTCGCCTCGAACTGTGATCCTCAGATCTCAGCTTCATGAGGAACTAGGATTACAGGTGTGAGCCAACAACACCTGGCTCTTGCCCAGTTTTGTTATGTTTTGTCTATAAGATTATGGGAGTATTATAATTTATTTGAATAGTTGCAGATTTACCCAAAGTTATAAAAATAATAAAAAGGATTCTCATGTAATATTTACTTAGATTCTCTAAATGTTAATAAGAAGTGACCATTTTTTTAGATACACGCACAAGTGTACACATAATATTTTTCTTCCCTGATTGCTATTTTTTTGGGGGGGCCTGAACTCTGGGCCTGGGTGCTGTCCCTTAGCTCTTCAGCCCAAGGCTAGCGCTCTACCACTTGAGCCACAGCACCACTTCCGGCTTTTTTCTTTTTTCTTATGTGGTGCTGAGGAATCAAACCCAGGGCCTCAGACTTGCAAGGCAAGCGCTCTATCACTGAACCACCTTCCCAGCACCCCTGATTACTATTTTAAGCCTTGTATTTATGTCCCAGCTTCCCCATCTTCTACCTTTCCTCTCCTTTAGCTAATAGGTAGGAGAAAACAATTCGGAATCAAGGTTCAAGGACTGATTGTGTTGTATTCTAAATGGTTCTATTTGGGTATTCACCCATTATTATTTTTGTGATTCAAGGTTTTCACTTACACAGTGGTCTTTTTTTTCTTGTTTTTTTTGGTCAGTCATGAGGCTTGAACTCTGGGCTTGGACGCTATCCCTCAGCTCTTCAGCTCAAAGAGAGCGCTCTTATGTCGAAAATGAACTTTACAACTTTGGTGGGGGGTGTGGGGGGAGGCTTGGAAGGAATGGGAAGGGGAAACAAAGGAGGAGGCTACGATGCTTGATAAGAAATGTACTCATTATCTTGCCCATGTAATTGTAACCCCTCTGTACAGTATTTTCACAATTTAAAAAAAAAAAAAAAGAGTCTCACTGAGTTTCCTGCCCGGACTGGCTTTGAACCGTGATCCTCAGATCTCAGCCTCCTGAGTAGCTAGGATTATAGGCGTGAGCCATCAGCACCTGGCTCCTTTTTTTGCTTTAGTCACTTTTCAGATAGGATCTGATGGTTTTGCCCAGGTCCACCCAGAACCACAGTTCTCACCTGTGACTATTCATGTACCTGGGACTACAGATGCTTACCATCACAAATGGCTTATTGATTGAAAAAAAATTTTTTTGTGTGCCAGTCCTGGCACTAGAACTCAAGGGCGGGTATGGTCTTGCGCTTTTGTTCTCAAGGCTAGTGCTAGAAACCACAATGTACATTCATAGTAACCAGTATGTCCTCTATGGTATTTAAAAGATCATGTGGAAATGTTTATTTTAGTGGTTCTTCTCTCTCTCTTTCTTTCCTCCCTCCCTCCCTCCCTCTCTCCCTCCATCTCTCTTTCTTTCTTTCTTTCTTTCTCTCTCTTTTTTTCTCTCTTTCTTTCTTTTTCTTTTTTTTTTTTTGCCAGTCTTGGGGCTTAAACTCAGGGCCTGGGCACTGTCCCTGAGCTGCTTTTGCTCAAGGCTAGTACTCTACCACTTGAGCTACAGCACTGCATCTGGCTTTTTCTGTTTATATGGTACTGAGGAATCAAGCCCACGGCTTCATGCATGCTAGGCAGGCACTCTACCACTAAGACACATTCCCAGGCCATGTGATTCTTTTCTTTCTTCTTAGAAAATGGGTCACACGTGTCTACTGTATATACACTCAGTAAATATTTATTGAATGAGTAATGCTTTTCTGTCTACTTTTCTGGAAATTAATATGTTCATTTTTGTTTCCCTTTATGTTTCTTCCTGGACTCCAAGGAGGAGGCATCTCCTTATTCCTTACTTGATATCTGCTTGAGTTTCCTGACCACTCACCTGGAAAAGTTCTGTTCAGCAAGACAAGATGGAACATTGTGTTTGCAGGAACCTGGAGTATTTCCACAGGAGGTGGCAGATCGCCTGCTTCAGACCATGGCATTTCATGGTAAAACAAAACTATGTGTATCTAATTGGCAAAGTACAACAGTGCTTTAATATTATCTTAGAAATAACTGAAAAATGATAGAGCATCAGGTATGAGTGATAAAGCTGATGTAGAGTGAAGGCCATGAATTAAAAGCACTAGCTTAAAAACAAAAACAAAAATCTAGAGAAAAAGCTGGGTGCTGGTGGCCTATGACTGTAATCGTAGCTACTCATAAGGCTAAGAACTGAGGGAGGATTGCAGTTCACAAGGCTCTTACTTCTAGTAAACTACTCAGAAAAAGCTGGTTCAAGTAGTAGAGCTCTCGCCTTGAGCTCAGAGAGGCTCAATGACAGAGCCTACATCCTGATTTCAAGCTTTAGGACCACAAACAAAAAAATGAAAAACCCACTACAGAGTAAGAAAAAAGGATAACACAAAAAGCCAAATGAACCTGATTCTGGGAAAAGGAACCCTCTCCTCTTTCCCAGCACTTAAATTTGATACCTGATGCTTTTGCTCATTGGCTAATACTCTACCATCTGAGCCACACCTCCAAGTAATTTATTTTTATACATCCTGGCTCTTACTGTATAGTTTAAGAATTTTTATTTCTCTTTTCTAATACAGGCAAATGCTTCCTTCCTCCTTCCCTCCCTCATTCCTCCCTTTTCTCTATTCATTTAAATACTCTGTGTAAGATTTGCAATTGTGGGGGACTGGGAAGGTGGCTCAGTGGTAGAGTGCTTGCTTTGCATGCTTGAAGCCCTGGGTTCGATTCCTTAGCACCACATAAGCAAGAAGAAAAAAGCCGGAAGTGGCGCTGTGGCTCAAGTGGTAGAGTGCTAGCCTTGAGCTGAAGAGCTGAGGGACA